AAAAGCAACGGGTACAATAAAAATATTTTTTTGATTTGGATGAAACTTCACCCAGTGTGATACCCCCATCATCAGAAATGCGGACCCAACTTTTTGAGCCATTCCTCTTACTGTAGCTGGATATGGTAGGCAGGTGGGCACCTGCGTATCTCAGTACTGAAGAGTTTTTACTAGGCGAGTGATATATCAATCGATAGGTAATCCAATGTCAAGAACTTTTACAGTACATACCATCTTGGGTTACGGTCGAAAAATTTTGAGTTACGGTACTTTTTGTGTCTGCCGAGTCAGTTTTTCGACCACCATGAGCTTGAGCCAGGAGATCTATTCTTCCTAACTTCTCAAAATATACCTTATGAGAAGCTGTACAAGCTGGTACTAGTTCGACAAAATCCTAGGTGGACCATCATTTCGAAAAATCTCCCCGAAGGCGCGCAATCGTGGTCTTGCGGCGGCCAAGTGGGTGAAGTCCATGATGCCGGACGGCTCATTTTTCACAGATCCATTCCAATCTTTGTTTCCATTTCACTCATAGATGTCTATTATTGATTTTTTATTTCAATTTGAGATGTTTTTCGGGTTGACCATCATTTCGAAATTTCATTTTTGAACCCAAATTTGGCCTGAAAAGGGCCGACACGGCTTTTTCCACGGGATCCCTGACTTCGTATGTGACCGTTCTCAACTTTTTTCTTTCTTAAACATGAACAAGAGGGTCTGAACAACAGTTTTATAACAATCGGAAACCCTTTTGAGAGGAACATCATCTCGAAATTTCATTTTGAACCCAAATTTGGCCTGAAATGGCCGACTCGGCCTTTTTCACGGGATCCCTGACCCCGTATGTGACCGTTCTCAACTTTTTTCTTTTTTAAACATGAACAAGAGTGTCTGAACAACAGTTTTATAACAATCGGAAACCCTTTTGAGAGGACCATCATCTCGAAATTCCATTTTGAACTCAAATATCGGCTTAGTTTCCCCATTTGAAGTTTTTATCATTTACAGCAAAATCTATTCTGCCAATTTATTTTCAAAACAGGTAATCAAAAATGAGAAATGTGAAATACCAAGTAATTTTTTTCATGAAAGAGAAAACCCGACACTCTGACCACCGGTGAGGTTGAAACTTAACTTTCAAGGTGATTTTTTATAAATGTTTTTATTATAACCTAAATAGTAGTTCTAAATCTTCAAAATTTTTCATACCTAAAAAACAAGACATTCGTCATGTGACTATTTTTGTGAAAAAATAACCAAAAAAAAATATTTCGATTTTCAAGCGAAATTTTATTCAAAAAGTGGATTTCCTAGGTAAACGGTCATTTTGGAATTGGTTCAAAATAAAATTTATTTTCAGTTCTCATCTTTATATTCTCATCAAAAAGTTAAAAAGGGCCAAGATCTGTATTGAGGGAACCAATAATTTCATTGGAAGGGTAAAACCAAAAGTTTTTCAAGCCAAATTTGGGTTCAAAATGGAATTTCGAGAGGATGGTCCTCTCAAAAAGGGTTTCCGATTGTTATAAAACTGTTGTTCAGACACTCTTGTTCATGTTTAAGAAAGAAAAAAGTTGAGAACGGTCACATACGAAGTCAGGGATCCCGTGGAAAAAGCCGTGTCGGCCCTTTTCAGGCCAAATTTGGGTTCAAAATGAAATTTCGAGAGGATGGTCCTCTCAAAAGGGTTTCCGATTGTTATAAAACTATTGTTCAGACACTCTTGTTCATGTTTAAGAAAGAAAAAAGTTGAGAACGGTCACATACGAAGTCAGGGATCCCGTGGAAAAAGCCGTGTCGGCCCTTTTCAGGCCAAATTTGGGTTCAAAATGAAATTTCGAAATGATGGTCAACCCGAAAACATCTCAAATTGAAATAAAAATCAATAATAGACATCTATGAGTGAAATGGAAACAAAGATTAGAATGGATCTGTGAAAAATGAGCCGTCCGGCATCATGGACTTCACCCACTTGGCCGCCGCAAGACCACGATTGCGCGCCTTCGGGGCGATTTTTCGAAATGATGGTCCACCTAGGATTTTCTCAAACTAGTACCAGCTTGTACAGCTTCTCATAAGGTATCTTTTGAGAAGTTAGGAAGAATAGATCTCCTGGCTCAAGCTCATGGTGGTCGAAAAACTGACTCGGCAGACACAAAAAGTACCGTAACTCAAAATTTTTCGACCGTAACCCAAGATGGTATGTACTGTAAAAGTTCTTGAAATTGGATTACCTATCGATTGATATATCACTCGCCTAGTAAAAACTCTTCAGTACTGAGATACGCAGGTGCCCACCTGCCTACCGTAACCCGGCTACAGTAAGAGGGAATGGCTCAAAAAGTTGGGTCCGCATTTCTGATGATTGGCTATCACACTGGATGAAGTTTCATCAAAATCAAAAAAATATTTTTTTATTGTACCCGTTGTTTTTTTGAGAATAACGGAGACAGCGTGTTAACAACTTTATTCCAAAAATCCCAGGAAGCCCCGCCTCTTTCGAGCATTTATCATTGAAGTCATCTAGGCAAAATAAATAAAACATGTATTTAGCAAGGTTTTTTACCCGAAGGAAAATTTTTCACGAATATTCCACAAATTAAAAAAATTAAAAGATATTCAGTAGAAAAATTGAAATTTTAAATCCTCGTTTTTTTGAATATTTTTCAAGTCGATTGCTGCATTTTTGAAGGGTAAAAATCAACACCTTAATTCGCATGTGAATCTGATTATTAACTTTGAAAGTGATTCAGTTGTTATTCAAGTTTTTGTTCAACCTGTGGCGGAAAGTCGTCAAGTTGCAGAATGTCGATGATGAGGTTGGCGCGAACGGACGCCCAATTCTCGATGGACCGATTCCGACGTCTCCGCTCCTTGATGGATCGCCGGCATTCGTCCAAGAAGCCCTGTTGCCGCCGCTTTTTTCCACTGTTTTCGACCTTTCCGGTGCTCATCATCCGTATACGGTAGATCTTTAGGTGTGCTTTTTTTTGTTGAAAAATCTATCGAGAAAGGATTATTTTTTTTCAAATTTCTCACTGGGTTTTCAAGGCAATAAAGATAAAATTGGCCTTTCTTAGGGTTATTTTGAGTCATGCCGGGTTTCGACGCCTTCAGAAAGCTCAGAAGTTTGGAAAACAGAATAAACCGCCTAGGGAAGATATATTTGTATTTTCTTTTTTTTAAATTTTTTTCTCATCGTTTTACATTTTTTGCTCATAATTTAGTTCCATCCCGTTCCTATCATCCATCGAATCACCTTTCTTTCAAAACCTTCTTCAAACGTCTTTTTGATCTCTGAATTGAAACTTTGAAGTGCCTAGTCCAGATTTTTGTTCCTTTGCATCATTTTTTCTCCAAAAAACCGTCTTTCAGTTTCACACCTCGCGTGAAAATGACGCTTTGTGCGAGGGAAAAGAAGAGAGAAAATCTATTATTTTCAACGTGAATCCCAACTCTTTTTTCCTTGAAGTTCAAAGTTGAACTTATATTTTCATATTTTTCGCCTTGTTTTGGAGGAAAACGAAATGAAGCCCCATCCAGATGTAATGAAAACCAAAATTGAAGTTTTTTGTTTTTCGATGAAGTAACTGAAGATGTCGTCATACAAATAATTAGTCTTTCAAAAAGATTTTCGTTTTCGGAGGGGATTTCATTCTTCCCCTTCACATTCAGTTGGTTCAAATAAATTCTTTCATTCAAATTTGAACTTTGTCCTGCCCCAGACTTCATCTGAGATATTTCCTCATTTTTGAGTTCCTTATTACTTCAGGAGGACATTTTTTCTTGGAAGACCCGAATCACTGCAAGATTAATGGTCACACGAAAAACTTTTTCCTTTTTTTATCCATGTCGAAGAGACACATTCGGACGATTTATCAAGTCTAACTTGAAGAGTTTTATTTCTCGTTGTCTTTGGAATCTGATACATGAAGTCTGAGCTTTCTTATTCAGAAATTTTTGGATTCAAACTATTTGGAGAGATGGTTAAACTAACTTTTAGAAAATTTTGACTAAAAAGGTTTTAGAAGAACTGAGAAGTGAACTAAATTCTCTTATTTTTATCTAATGATTTCACTTATCAATTAAATAACCCATATCATATAATTTGCAATTCAAATTAGATTTTTTTAAATTTTGAAATGTTTGCTTTCAAAATGTGCTTATCCGTCTAAAATCTTTTTGAACCTCATATGTTTCAAAACGTTTTTTAGTAGAGAAATTGGTTTCAATCCCACTGAAACGATGAAAAATTCGATTATATGCAAGTGTCATTTTCAGATGTTCTGGTCTTATTTTTTTTAAGCCTTTTTTCTAATTTCCCAGGCGAGGGATACTGTACCTTGCTAAGTTTTTTGAAAAAATATTGATCGGACTCGAAAAAGATTTTTTTTTCAAATTGAAACTGCTAAAGAATTTCAAGAGTCTCAAAAAATCTTGAAACTCAGCTTTTTTGATACAGAGAGTGTAAGTTTCATTAAATTAGACCAGTAAATCTCAAGTTCCGGCATTTTTTTGTTGAGAAATCAGGAGTTTTCTCTTAAGTTTTCAGAAGAGACATTTTTTTTTAAATGGATTTATTTGTAGAAGTAGGTTGGAATTTTTGAAGAAAAGTATTTTTTTGACTTCTTCTTTTTCCCGGACATGGTCAGCACTCTTGTGGGTTCCGAAAGACTAGAATTTCCAACACTATTTTTAGACGAGTCCACTTTTGAATTACCACGCGATGACGTATTCAGACGAACAATGAAAAGATGAAGAGCGTTTAATTCCAAACGGCTCAGAATCCTTGACCAATTTCTCCCCTTCTGCCGCAAGTAATGCGAATATAATAATTATTTTGCCCGAATCAAGCAATGTTTTCATTCATTCGAACAGCCTTTTTGGTGTCTGATTGCGTTTAGCAGTACAAATTGTATGCGTAGGAAAGCGCAGAACTAGAAATTGGAGCGTGACCTCATCGGCGCCTCCGAGTTGCCCGCACCTTGGAGGTCTTTCGCTCGTTCCGCCCGTCATGTCGTTCGAGTTGAAGCCGAAAAGCCGGAAAATTATTGCCCAGATAATCGCGTCGATGGTCCTTTTTTGAGTTGCTCATTCCAAGCTTCTTCGCTTTTCTTCTCTTTTTTCCTTTTTTTGATCTCTGGATTCAGGAGGAGTGTCATAATCTGTGCAATCAGTTTGAATCAAAACTTGATGACTTAGCTTTCTGATGGCCAGGTTATCTATGAAAAGCTATTTAAACTTGTTGTTTTTTTTGGTAATCTTCAAAACTTTTTGGTGTTCCATTGAAATGTCTGGAATTCTCTGCATAGTTTCACATTTTTCTGTTCCATTCAATGCAAATAATTCTATGATTTGCAAAGTAAGCTTTTATAAGTAGCTTTTGAAACTTACAGGGACTCTTAAAAACCGAAATAGCTGGGTTTTCTAAAGTTTTGGGCTAATTAATGGATTATTTTCTAAGCGACTTTAAAGTGAGTCATTTCTTGATAAATTTGAATTGAGGATTTCTAGAAGAAAATATTTTTTTAAATAAAATATTTTTTTCTAAAAACCACTATTACTTCTTCTTCTTTTTTTCAGCTAAAACAAACGGCAGACAGTGGAGTTTTTTTGTTTTTTTCCACTTTGCCCCACCAAAAAAAGGCAAACTAACTGCACTCACACGGGATCATCTTTCTCCTGATTGATTCTTTCTATCCAGTAAAAGATCTGATTTCATAATAACAAAAATTTTCATCTCTAAAGGCTTTATTTAGGAAATGCCTTTGCGTAAGAACCTAAAAGAACTGGTTTCAGCTTAAAAAGGTGCAACCGGAGCCAAAAAAGTATCATCAATTTCTTTTCGAGCTCCGCCTGCGCCTTCGAGCCTCTTTAAAAAAGCTTTTCATGAATAGAATATACTATTATATCCGAGGAAGGGTGAGAAAATGAAAATTCACCTTAGTATGCCTACCAGCAGTGGAATTTAAGGCATTCAGACAAATTTTCAATTTTACGCAACCCCTATGAATTTATGCGAAGCCATTTTTTTCTGCTAGACAACACCATCCCTTGGTTTTTCTGAATGCATCGCGAAGAATTGAATCCTCTTCTTTTCGCATTTTTTTTTTCTCATTTAGTCAAAGGACGGAAGAGACTTTTGATTCTATTCCTGTGGCGCCAGATGTCGCAATTACTGAAGTTGTAATGTTTCCGACATTTACTCGGTGTCTTGGATGTATTAGTCTTTTTATTAATATTTTTTGACTTTAAAAGATATTTTGATACTTTCGGAGAGTTTTTAATCATAAAATAAGTAAAGAATTCTGAACCACAAAATTTTTTGAAAAAAATCTGCCAAAACTTTCCTTCATGTATTTAGAGAATACCCTAAAGTGGCGACTTCAAAAATTACTAGTTTTTGAAAAAACACTCTTTAAGATTCGGGTTCCTTGACACAAAAAAAGAAAACTTATTCAGTACGCAAAGAACTTTCCGACCAAGTTTCGGAACTTGCATTTTGAATAAATATAGTTTCCTTGTTATAGACGTTTTTTAAGGTTCTCGTTTTTCTTTTTTCTTCCGAATCATCTTTGCCCGGGATTTTGGGATTCACATGACGGGTTCATTTCAATGATTATTTTCGAGCTCTCTCATTCGGTATTCTTTGTTTTTCCTGCTCCAGCTCTACACTTCCGTTTTGTTTTTAAAAAAATCAGTTGAAAAGTTGAACTTTCTACGTCAATCATGGGAAACCGGGCAGAGGTTTCCGTGAGAAATTCTAAGAAATTTTGTTTTCAGGGAGCGAATGAGCTGTGAGAGAACAAGGACGTCAGTGTGAAGCGAACGAAAAAAGGTCAGTTATGGAGTTTTGATTTCTTGAATGGTGAGAAAATCAGTCAATCAATCGAGTTATTCAGAGATGTAACTTCTTTTCAGGTTTTGAGTTTTTACTGGAATAAACAGGTAGATGAACTTGTAGCAAGGGAAAAACGAATGCTGGGAAGTAGTTGATACTTCTTAAATGGAAACTTTTAGTTTCACTTAAAGTTGAAAATAGTTTTAAATTATGCTCTATCTGTTAGTTTTACGACTTTTATATCCATTCTGAACAATTTCGAAAACCTTGGCGGTATTTTTCGCGTCTCGGTAGTTATTTCCTTTCTCACCCCCACTGTTCTCTGCAATAGGGTAATCCTAAAGATTAGATGTTGTTTATCTAATTATACGACTAGAGAGAATTCCAGGGAAGTTTCAGTTTTCCAGCAAATTTCTACTCATCGTTTCCTCTTATCACAGTGTTTTAGCAAAAAATAAATTTCGTGAGTTTTGGACTCTGGACCCCAATTTTGAGTTTTGAACCTCTCGACCGTTTTCCCACGGCAAAATAGAGCTTTTTAGGGGACGTGGGAGTTTGAAAAAACATATGGAAAACTATGAAGAATAGTAAGAGGACCGTGAAAAACTAGTTGGTAGCTGAAATGACCTTAATTAAGAATGTCAGAATGGCCCCTATAGGGGCTAGGGAAAAGGACAGGCCCTGTAGGGAACTTGATCAATTCATCCTGTGATCATATTTTTATTCAAATATTTCTAACTTATTGAGCTTTTCGCATGGAAATGCTTCTCAGGGAGTTCATCACAAAACTAGAGTGTCTCCTATAGGGACCACTAACTAAAAACCCTATGAGGGCCCTTTGAAAGCTTTAGTTTACCCTATAAGGGGAGGTAAAGTGGTCCCTAGAGAGAAACCTTCAAGGGTCCCTTGCCTCTATAGGGACCATCCTGGACTTCCTGAAAGGTTTCCCACGGATTTTTTTTAGTGTTAAAATGATTGAGTTTTTTAAAGCTATCTATGGTCATGGAAGCGCTCAGAATGGGTTCGAGCTAAGAATTTTCCTTTGATGTGCTGTTTTAAAATAAACTGTACTCTCCAGCTTAAAGTTTTCTTTAGGAAAATGAGCGGCAAATTTTT